GTGGCCATCGAGAGCACCTAAAGGTGAAGAGGTCCTTAAAAAAGGACCTCGCCACCTGTAGACTCTGAGGGGTGGAGGTTACCACATTGTCACCTCCTTCATGAGGGTCACACAGAGCGTCTATAGACGTCCTATGTATACGAGCTCGGGCAACACACAAAAACTTCTTATCTATCGATCCTTCGATCTAATGTCTTGCTAACTGGCCCCGAATGTGCGCACCCTTCCATCATCGTGTGGCAAAAGACTCCAGTTGCCAGTGTAAATACAATATATCTGACTGGTCCTGAGACTGTGTTTGTATCCTCTGTTTTTTCTTGCTGTTCAAGTTGCTATATTTGTTGAAGAATCTCAATTTCTCTTGCATGCCTCCGAGAGGCAAGTTGTGACGAGTATTCCTCAGGCTTGCATTTTTTTTGCTAAGGACGAAAAACCCATTACTGATCCGGTCGATTTCCTCCGGAATAGTTGGTTTATGCGTGTGCCAGAAAGCCCAGCCATCCGCAAGGTATTGCAAGAGCGATTTCTAAGCTTATAGAAACCAAATCCCGGTCTGATTTCTTGCAGAGCGGCAAAATACTTGAGCGCATCTTATGGTCGAATCCCGGGTATGGACTTCGGTAAGATGGCCGCCAGAAGGAGTGGCCCCTGCAGGTCCTCTAAAGCGAGGATAAGATCAATCCTCCATCTCGAATGACCCTAAAATGAGGATAAAATCAATCCTGGATCTCGAATGACCCTATGTCCGTATTCTCCACAAACATGAGAAAAGTGTTTATACGGGTGAGGTGTCCAAATGTGTCAAAAGCCTTGAAGGACAAGCACAGATCCTTGGTTATTTGTTCATCTTCCTCTACATAAGGATCGGACGAGGGAAGGTGTTCGCCATCTATCTATCCATCGGTCAGGGGCCGCATTGAAGTCTCCTGCTATAATCACCGGTATACCGGCCGGGATCTGAGCTTCATTTTTTCGAAAAACGCTCCTGTCCCCTATGACATAGGTGCGAATATGCAGATGATGCAGACCACTTCCAGTTCTACGCCAGGACGGACGATTGGATCGGTTACACGTGGGACCCGGGAGGGATCCAAATAGCTACTCCCTCGCTCCCGGGCCTTGGAGCATGTGCTCTAAAGGCTCTGTGCGATCACATCAGTTTATGTGTCCTGTTATGTTCTCGTGAGTCCGTCAGGTGCATCTCCTGGACACAGATCACTTCTGGCCAGGTTCTTCCTCCCACACCTTTAATTAGGACCCAGATCACTGCCGTCTCTCTGTATGCTCAGGGATCGCAAATCAAGATTGGCCACCCTCTGGCACACTGACTCCAATTGTTATCCTTACCATAAACCGCTTTAACCAGATCCATAATCATTTGAGTAAATTCTGGTCCAGACTGTCGTGTTCAAGAACTCCCTCTATATATTCTGCCAAACCGGTTGCTCTCCCACCCTGACCTTTGCGCCTTTCAACAAGCCATTTTGGGGCACAGGCCCTTCTGCACATCCAACTCCGTCCGTCCAAGAGTTGATTGTGCGAAAACCGTTGTAAACCAATCTGTTTGGAGTGATGGAAGCGGATGAAAACATCTATCTGTGAGATTCTAGTGGAACCCGCCGTGAACGTCCACATGGCCCGCGCCCCCGGCTCACCGGATTCTGCAATGTATGCTGTCAGTTGCATTTTCAAAAGTCGTGCCACGACCTCGGAACGTTGATTACATGGGTCTGCCCAAAAGGAGGACCATCCCTGCAGGGTACCCCTCGCTTGCCTCCTTCCACCAGGGATAAACCCACCTCCCATTTGCCGTCTTTCCCTCGTATCGGTATTGACAACAACACTTCTCACGCAAAGGGTCCCGTATCCTGGTCCGTCTCCACCATGTACCTGAGTCTCCTCTTCCGCATCTGATCTATTGGTATGTCCTCATCAGTATTAGGCGGATCCGGATCCGGGAGAGGGGAAGGTGGGTACCGAGGTGTAGCAGGCTGCGTGGTCTCTTCGCCTGCCTGCAGGGCCGGTCTCCGCCGATGCAGTCTCGGGCGGACATAAGCGGGTGAAGACAGTAAAAGTCAATCTATGCCACGCTTCCGCCCATGTCATGCCAGCCTGCAACCCCTGGTCTCCGCCAATGCAGTCTCGGGCGGACATAAGCGGGTGAAGACAGTAAAAGCCAATCTATGCCACGCTTCCGCCCATGTCATGCCAGCCTGCAACCCCTGTTCTAGCACACCTTTTAAGGGATGCACTCTGCGTCCAACATCGATAAGAGCTCCAGGTATGTCTTACCCAGATCAGAGACAGGACCATATATTGCTTTCAACATCAACCAGTCAGCAACAGCCACCAATTTTTGTTCCATAGGTACATGCGCTGGTGGGGCCCCTTCCTCCCTGCCTGCAGGTTTGAGTATTTCATGCTCCAATCCTTCCGGGGTCTTATTTACAGTATCCGGAAGCGGGTCTACGTCCATCGGTACCGGTCCAAATGCCGCGTCGAACGGATCCGGATCCGCATCCGCAGCTACGGTTAGATCCACTTGTACCGGGTCTGACCCCCTTTCCGTCGACCACCAGATTTCTTCATCAAGACGGTACCTCCGTGTCAGTGTGTGCTCGGTTGGTATGTTCTACTTTCGACTTTGCTAATGTATGTTCTGGCTCTGGTTTGAGTCTTTCGCTGCTGGAAATTTTATTTTGTTTTTATTGATTAATTGCACTAAAGTCCAAACTGATGGATTCTTGTCCGTTTGTGGCATTTCCACTGTGACACAAAACTCTACACGGGTGTGTAATACTATGTATTATATTGGCTGCGATAAACTACACAGCTTTCTAGGGGCTTCAGCCATTTTTGTTAGGGGTCTGAAATTGACAGTCCATACAGTGGTGATTCCGCCGAAACATTGCTCCTGGGCCCTCGGGATATCCCTGCAGCTTCAGCACTTAAAAGAGCATTCACACTAACACTTCTGGCTATGCTCGGTCGAATGCAAGCAGGGGAGTTCGGGAAGTTAGCAAAGGCAATCACAGTCTTTGAAGGCATGAATTTATGTCAAGCCTGACAAACTGCTGAGGTTCAACCTCATGGTTAATTGCAGATAATTCTATTATGTAGAATAAACCTGTCTCCCATACCCATACCTTGTCCATGGAGAGGCGTTTGGTGAAGCGACAGTGCAGAGGACCAGATTACTTCACATACATTTCATACCCATTATGGAAGTGATAGGGACATGCTTCGCACCTGGCCTTAAGATACAGGGATGTTCATGTAATTCAACTAGCTGACTAACTAAGATTGGATTGACTGGAACTGGTAGACTCATTAGTCCAAAGCGGATTAGTTTGAGAATCCGTTTATCTCGGATTGTTCGCCGGATGATCTTAAACAGAGTTCCATGATTTACGGCTCCAGGGCCTTCGGCCTCCAGCATAGGGAGTCCTTGTGTAGGACCAAGAATGCCCGCAAAGGGCACCACTAAGCCAGCTGGGAAAGAGAGGATGGTGTATTGTTGTCAAATGAATGTTGGTTGTGGCATCTGCCGGAGTAGGAAAAGCTGTGGGTGTGGATTGGCTGCGGAACAGAAGTCACGCCTTTTGTAGCAAAGGACACAACAGGATGGAACGCTGGACCCAGTTTCCAGCAACGAGACTCCATCTCAATATGTAAAAAACAAAAAAGGCCAGCAGTGTCGATAGAAGGGGTACTTCAAAGGCCGGGAGTGGGAGGAACCAGGGTGGGATAGCAGATACCTGGCGCCAGGTTCACGGTGAAGAGGTTTCCCCGCCTCCCAACCTCCTGCTCAGTCAATCCCCTGGACCCCAGGGTAATCAATGCTGGCAGGAATATCCCACACTTTTTCCCCTATGTGATTTGAACTCTACCTTTGTAAGGGACGCTGGACCCGGTTTCCAGCAGGTGCTCCTCCGCACCAATAGATGGAGCCCTCCCCAGGTGCTAGTGGTGTCTGCTTTTACCAGCACCACTAGCACTGACGGGTGCTCAAAAAAAAAAAAAAAAAAAAAA